TTGAAATGTCTATCATATAACCTCTAAAAACATTGACAGTTATCAGGCGTGGCAAATAGTGTGACGTAGAGTGCGGGCAACCAACCCGTAGTCGACTACAAAAATACAATGGATGTAGCAGTCCTGTTAGATTCTACTGTCCTTGCTACAAACTTTGGCAATAATTGGAAACAATGCTTTCCCTCATGGTATGGTTATCACCATAACAACATTAAGTTTTAAATACATACAATAGTTTTAGAAAGAACAAAAAAAATTGATACATTATATTCCATCATAGTATGTATGGTTATCACCATAGCAACATTAACTTTTAAATATATACATTAGATTTAGATGGAACAAAATGAATTTTTGTTAATTATTCAATAACTATAAGAAATATACCCCACAAACTATACATATATATTTGTTATCAGAAGAAAATAACAAATTATTTTAAGTCATAGCCAACTATGATTTCCATTTAAAAATATAAAGTTACCTCTAAAATCTCGAAAATAAAAGATAGGAAAAAAATTCTACCTACGCCACTGAATTCTTCGTAAAAAGTTGCCCATATAATGTTTTTTTTATAATACTCANGTGTTTCTACTTGATTTTAGTAACAAATTGTATTAATTTAACGAATTGTTTATAAAGAAATACATAGGAATATAGTGTGAGATATTAGGGATAGATGGCGCTAAGCTAACGTCAAAATTTTGTGTCAAAATGATTCATTCGAATTCATTTTGATTAAATAAAACATTCGCGTGCTTGAGGCCATAGAGTTAACGTCTGAGCTGTTCTGGTGCGTCTTAAAGGTTAGATTATAAGGTTAAAATTGATAGGTGGCTGCTCCGCGGTAAGTCTTATTAATTAGTTGTTTTTCTTTTTTTTCTTTTTTAAAAAAAGAAATAAATTAAACCTCACGTAAGAGATATTAGAAAATAAAAGAGCCGGGTAACCGGCTTACAATGGAAACGTCACAAGGGGATTCGCCATCTGGCGAATCCCCGTCTGAAAAACACATGCATATTTCTCAGAATAATTCAGAAAAGTCAAATAATCTGATAGAAGACTCTAACTTAGATAATGGAAATAGATATAAAAGTACAGATTTACCCCCATACTCTATTTATCTCGAATCAATCGATAAAAATATAGGATATATGAAGGATTTAGTAATTGGTAAAAAACTTTTTGATAGTGGCATTGAAGGAATTAATAAAGTGGAGAAAAGGGGGCGGAACCGGATTGAAGTTGAATTTAATTACTATAAAAAAGCTAATGATTTCATAATATCCGAATATATCAAAGCAAACAACTGGCGAGCGTATATACCGGCTCACCGGGTATCCTGCCGAGGTATTATCCGAGAAATAGACATAAGTATGAGCGACGAAACTTTAATGAAATATTTAAAAACGGAAAATGAGAGAGAAGTATTAAGGGTTAGAAGATTGAAGAGAAAACGCATTGACGAAGATGGTAATATAACATATGTTGATTCAGCTACGGTGGTGGTAACATTCGATGGCGTAAGATTGCCAAGGCATGTCTCACTTTTTCATGTTTACAGAATACCAGAATTGTATATAGCACCGGTCATACAGTGCTACAAATGCTGTAGGTATGGCCATACAAAAATGTTATGCAAAGCGCAAGTCAGATGCCCAAGGTGCTCTGAAGGTCATGATTTATCAGTTTGTACGTCAGAACAAATGGTATGCTGTCATTGTAAACAAAATCATTACTCAACTGAAGTAGGCACACCACTATCAGAAAGATGCTGTCCTGAATATAAAAGGCAAAAAGAAGTTAAGAGGTTAATGGCAACACACAGTTATTCGGCATATGAAGCCCATATGTTAACTACAAACCCAGGTAGAGTTGTATCATCCAATACGCAAGTCTCGCAACAACACTTTCCCCCGCTAAAAAATTCTAATAAGATAGATAACTGTACCAACATCAATGCATCCAACGCTGCATATAGACCATTGATAGACTATTCNTTTATTAAAATTTGTCTTGAAATTTTAATAAATCCTCTTTAAATAATTAAGCTCCATCTACCGGTTAATAACCTCAATTAATAATAAATTTGACATTTCAAAACCGCCAGTTGCAATTTTCATAAATTTATCAAATTTAACGATAAAAAAAATTAATTGAACCCAAACGTTCGATTAATTTTAAACCAACAATTAATTCTACGATTTATTTGCAATTAATCTTTTAAAATTTTAATTAAACCTCTTTAAATCATTACTAACCCCATCTAGCGGTTACACCCCGTATTAATAGTAAATTTGACACTTCAAAACCACCGGTTGCATTTCTTCCTAAATTTATCAAATTTGACGATAAAGAAAGATTAATTGAACCGAAACGTTCATCGAAATACGTTTTTAAACGCCCAAACTGTGTATTGAAAGTGATATTAGATTCCGCGAAGTGATTTTTTCTTTCTAAATTATTCAGTGAAGTTTGTTCGAAGAATATAACCTAAATCTTACGTCAATTTTAAATTTAAAGAGATTTAAAACGAAAATATAGTAAGTCGGTTTTATTAATTATCAATTAATTCCATAGCTTGGATTTAATTAATAAATAATTCGTTAAAATAATCAAAATTTTCCGGCTAATTTTAAACATACGAGTGTCATCTAGTGNACCATAAAATTATAATTTGAAAAACTACTTGCGCCGCCATCTAACAATGGGTAGCCTAAGCGGTGGATGAACAATTATTACAGTATTTATCCTGGTGTGTTAGGAAGGGTCCCCGAACTGTCTCTGTATTTTTATTATCGTAATATTCTTTTGAATCAGTCTCTCAAAGTGAAGAGTATTCGCGTGCTTGAGGCCATAGAGTTAACCTCTGAGCTGTTCTGGTGCGTCTTAAAGGTTAGATTATAAGGTTAAAATTGATAGGTGGCTGCCCCGCGGTAAGTCTTATTAATTAGTTGTTTTTCTTTTTATTCTTTTTTAAAAAAAAGAAATAAATTAAACCTCACGTAAGAGATATAAGAAAATAAAAGAGCCGGGTAACCGGCTTACAATGGAAACGTCACAAGGGGATTCGCCATCTGGCGAATCCCCGTCTGAAAAACACATGCATATTTCTCAGAATAATTCAGAAAAGTCAAATAATCTGATAGAAGACTCTAACTTAGATAATGGAAATAGATATAAAAGTACAGATTTACCCCCATACTCTATTTATCTCGAATCAATCGATAAAAATATAGGATATATGAAGGATTTAGTAATTGGTAAAAAACTTTTCGATAGTGGCATTGAAGGAATTAATAAAGTGGAGAAAAGGGGGCGGAACCGGATTGAAGTTGAATTTAATTACTATAAAAAAGCTAATGATTTCATAATATCCGAATATATCAAAGCAAACAACTGGCGAGCGTATATACCGGCTCACCGGGTATCCTGCCGAGGTATTATCCGAGAAATAGACATAAGTATGAGCGACGAAACTTTAATGAAATATTTAAAAACGGAAAATGAGAGAGAAGTATTAAGGGTTAGAAGATTGAAGAGAAAACGCATTGACGAAGATGGTAATATAACATATGTTGATTCAGCTACGGTGGTGGTAACATTCGATGGCGTAAGATTGCCAAGGCATGTCTCACTTTTTCATGTTTACAGAATACCAGAATTGTATATAGCACCGGTCATACAGTGCTACAAATGCTGTAGGTATGGCCATACAAAAATGTTATGCAAAGCGCAAGTTAGATGCCCAAGGTGCTCTGAAGGTCATGATTTATCAGTTTGTACGTCAGAACAAATGGTATGCTGTCATTGTAAACAAAATCATTACTCAACTGAAGTAGGCACACCACTATCAGAAAGATGCTGTCCTGAATATAAAAGGCAAAAAGAAGTTAAGAGGTTAATGGCAACACACAGTTATTCGGCATATGAAGCCCATATGTTAACTACAAACCCAGGTAGAGTTGTATCATCCAATACGCAAGTCTCGCAACAACACTTTCCCCCGCTAAAAAATTCTAATAAGATAGATAACTGTACCAACATCAATGCATCCAACGCTGCATATAGACCATTGATAGACTATTCCGATATTGTCAAGGGTTCCGGCGAAAATAGCTATAAACCTGCGATAGTTCGTAAGCCAATTAGAAACGATGGTAACCGAAATACGGAAAACTATAAAAGAAAAAAAGAAAACTCGCCAGAAAGACAGGTGAAGCAACATGAGAGACTATATAAAAAGAAAATAATAGAGCAATCAACAAAGGAAAATTCGCAATCCGGTAATATCAAACCACCCAGCCGGGCATCAAGTTCAATATCCAATACCACAATAGAAGAAGAAGAACAGTTAGTTGTCTCTAGACCATCGATGCGATTAATTAATAAAGAACAAATATTATATTCTGAAGACGATATCCCATATGATAAAGATTACACTCTGGAATTCCAAGAGTCTGCCCAAAAATAAAGCAAGTTTATTCAGTTTTTTAAAAGACAACGAACAACATGTAGTAGCTGTAACTGAAACATGGATGAAGGAGGAATATCCTATATCAACCCCCGGATATAATCACCTCTATATATGTAGAGGTGATTCATACGGGGGATTGTCCTTACTAATAAACAAAAAACTCAAATTTAAATATCATGAAAATATCACGTCGGCGGTAGAAAGAACACATTTTTTATGTATTTCAATAGATAATGTAACCATCGTTGCAGGATATATTCCACCGGATATTATCTTTAATAGCAACGATTGGGATAATTTATTGAGAAATGTTCCACTTACAAGGAAATTTATTTTACTAGGGGATTTTAACGCCCACCTCCCAGGATGGAGCAGCCAACACCTGATAAACGCCAGAGGAAGAGCAGTGCAATCAATGGCTGAACAATACAATTTATGCATACTAAACGACGGGAAAACTACTCTTTTCACGCGACGGGATACTAAAAATATTTTAGACCTCATTTTATGTTCACCAGATTTGGCAGTTGGAGCTCTCTGCGTCACTGTGGGCGACACATTGGGAAGCGATCACTTTCCTGTGATGGCTTCCTTCAATGCTGGATACTTGCAGTGTGGGGATGGCCGGCGCCAAGGAAATGTATCGGAAAACTGGTCAGTATATCAAAAACATATTAACAGCTGTATCGAAGGAGGATGGATAGAAAATATGGCAGACCTTATTAACACCATCAAAGAAGCCAAACGTCAAGCCAAAACTACCTCGGAAGGAGAGGAGCAAGACAAACCATCATGTCCATGGTGGGACAAAGAATGTGATAGGGCAGTAAAGATAAGAAAATTCACAATAAGACAATTTTCAGAAAACAAAACGGACATTAATTACATGATAGCCAAAAGGCATATAGCCTTAACAAAAAGGATTTTGTTGAGGAAGAAAAGAGAACATTTCAGAAAATTCTGTAATGAAATAAGTAGGGATACACCACTAACTGTAATATGGGAAAAGATTAAAATCCTAAAACGTTGGCAAGATAGAAATAAAAATGCAAGCGATAGCAATGACGACTGGCAGGATGGTTTCCTGAATAAAATATGTCCAGCGTATGTGCCCGATAAAGAAAGTACCGAATTTTTAGAAGAAGACGATATGACAGCTAATCAGCACATAGCAGATGATATTGCAAGCTACGAACTGGAAAAGACCCTAAAAACCTTTCGAAACTCCGCACCTGGCGGTGATAAAATCACTTATCATAATTTAAGAACATTACCAATACCAGCAAAAAACCTACTATGGGAAGAAATGAATAAAATATGGGCTACGGGCAATGTTCCAGACGATTGGAAGAGAATTACGGTAGTACCAATTCCAAAACCAGGAGGAAATAAAAAATCACCGGAAGGATACAGACCAATATCCCTTATTCCATGCATTAGAAAATTATTCGAAAAGGTACTAGCACATAGACTTGAATGGTGGTTAGAGAAAGAAATGCGGTTTGACCATTTGACCTTCGGCTTCAGGAGAGGAAAAAGTATTTTACACTGCACCGCGTACTTGGTTAGTACCATCCAGCTGGCTTTTGCACAAAAACAAACAACGGTGGCTGTTTTTTTGGATATTCAGGCGGCATACGACAATGTCTCAATTCCAGTATTAATCAAAATTTTGAAACGACAAGGTCTTCCTGTACGCTTTTTACGGGCTATATACTATCTAAATAATAGAAAATTTATTAAAATTAAGAATGATAATGGAACACTAGGAGAGAGAACAAGTTATCGGGGCCTAGCACAAGGGAGCCCTTTAAGCGCCCTACTATTCAATGTCTATATAAATGGAATTAATTTAGAGGTAGCGGAGGCAGGATGCACAGCTATGACTTATGCGGATGATGTGGTGGTTTTCTGCAGTGGAAAAACAACAGATAGTTGTGTAGAAAGGATAAACAGAGCAATGGAAAAACTAAGAATGTTCCTCGAAGAACGTACACTTGCGGTGTCTGCTCAAAAAACAAAGGCAATGATTTTTACAAAAAATAAAAATGAAGCAAAACCACCCATAACATTCGCAGACAATAATATTCAGTACAGCGATACCATCAAGTATCTGGGGTTGCGTATTAACGTAAAACTGAACTGGAAGGAGCAGATCGGAGCGACGGTAGCATCAGCGGAAAAAGCTCTAAACATAATACGATCTGTGTCATCAGTCAGCTGGGGTGGCGATCCACTCACACTTAGAACTCTATACCGAGCGCTAGTAAGATCAAGATTGGAATTCATGTTACCCATAATGATGCCATTAACAGTTGCAAGTCAAGCAAAGCTGAACAAAATCGTATTCAAGGGTCTCCGGCTAGTATTAGGATTACCTTTAACCACACCGACAAACGTATTAGAGGTGGAAGCAGGCGAGCCCCCTTTAAAGTTAGTGACAGTAGGAAGAGCAAGAAAATTCATCTTAAAGAATCAAAAATATATAAACAATGTTATAACACCTACATTGAATAGACTGGGAACACAATTAGAGGAAATAAGGGCTAAACAAAGTAAGGTACCGTTGCTTGTCAATGTTTGGAACGAAATTAAGGAAGCGAAATGGGACATGCACAAAAGTAACAAAATGGCATATTATACAATACCGTATGAGACGGTATATCAAAACATCGACATAAAGTTAAAGTTACCCTGTCTTGATTACATAGAAAGAGCGGGGATAGGTGGGTCAGCTGCAAATGGCATTTTTGAACAATACGTGAGGGAAGAGTGGCCAGATCATATCATCATTTTTACAGACGGTTCGGTAAGAAGGAATCCG